AGCTCACAGCAACCTCAAACTCTTGGGCTCAAATGATCCTCTTGCCTCAGCCTCCCAAGTACCTGGTGGCTCTTGCCACCACAATGCCCAGCTAGTTTTTCTATTTTTAGTAGAAACAGGGTCTCACTCTTGCTCAGGCTGGTCTTGAACTCCTGAGCTCAAGCAATCCACCTGCCTTGGCTTCCCAGAGTGCTAGGATTACAGGTATTAGGCACTGTGCCCAGCCTATGAAAATAAATACTGGCTTGGTGCCTGTGGTTCTAACGGCTAAGGCGCCAGCCACATACACCTGAGCTGGTGGTTCAAATCCAGCCTAGCCCTGCCAAAAACAACAATGATGGCTGCAACCAAAAGATAGCCAGGTGTTGTGGTGGGCACTTGTAGTCCAGCTACTTGGGAGGCAGAGGCAGGAGAATCACTTGAGCCCAGGAGTTAGAGGTTGCTACGAGCTGTGATGCTACAGTACTCTACCCAGGGCTATAGCTTGAGGTTCTATCTCAAAAAAAAAAAAAGAAAAGAAAAGAAAAGAAATACTAAAAGGCAGAGGTTAAATGTGGCTTTTAAAAACTCTTACCTCCTATTTTCTTCTCTGTTTCTTATCTTACTACCTGTAAGAACTGTCAAACAATAACGCACTTTCAAATCACCACTGATCTCAGGTTATGGAGCATCAGTGGTCTGTGGTCCACAGGCTGAGTGTTGATGCCTAAGGGAGGCAGTACAGTGCCAGTTGCTAAGTCATCAGGCTTTGGAATCAGTAGTGTACAGATTCAAGTCACATCTGCTAACAGCTAGTGATAAGACCCAAGGCAAATTTATCTTAAACAATTATTTAGCACTTACTAGGTACTGGGCAGGGTTCTAAATACTTTGCAACTATTTTATGATTAAAACAGATGTACTACTACTGACACATCCTAAGGTGAGGAAACAGGCCCAGAGAGGTTGAGCACCTTGCCCAAAGTCACAGCTACTGAGTATTAGAGTCAGGATTTAAATCTACTCAGTCTGATGCCAGAGGCCATGATCATAACCATTACTCTATATTCCCTCTCTAATCCTTTTTATTCATCTAAAAAACCGGGCTAGGCTCGGCGCCTATAGCTCAGCAGCTAGGGTGGTGGGTTCAAACCCAGCCCAGGCCTGCCAAACTATGAAGACTATGGCTCAGTGCCTGTAGCACAGTGGTTATTGCTCCACCCACATACACCACAGCTGGCGGGTTTAAACCGGGCCCGGGCCAGCTAAATAACAATGACAACTACAACAAAAATAGCCTGGTGTTGTGGCAAGCGCCCATAGTTCCAGCTACTTGGGAGGCTGAGGCATGAGTTTGAGGTTGCTGTGAGCTGTGATGCCACGGCACTGTACCAAGGGTGACATAATGAGACTAAGTCTCAAAAAATAAAAATAAAAATAAAACAAGGTTAACAGGTCTGCCTTATCTCTCAAAATCATGCGAAAATACACATTGTAAGGTAAATATTAGCGATAATAATGATACTCATCATTCTATCAGCTACCATCACCTTTGGTCCAGCCAAGGGCAGAAGAAAAACATTATATTTTGGTTGAGAAAGGTGGTAGGTTCAAACCTGGCCCTAGCCAAAAACTGCAGTAGGTTCGGCGCCTGTGGCTCAAGTGGCTAAGGCGCCAGCCACATATACCTAAGGTGGCGGGTTCAAATCCAGCCCAGGCCCGCCAAACAACAATGATGGCTGCAACCAAAAAATAGCCAGGTGTTGTGGCGGGCGCCTGTAGTCCCAGCTACTTGGGAGGCTGAGGCA